ATGATTGGTCAGAATGCTGTCCCTGATTGGTCAGCAGGCTGTTTTTGATTGATCAGAAAGCTGTTTCTGATTGGTCAGAAGTTCAGCACTGATTGGTCAGAAGTTCAGTGCTGATTGGTCAAAAGTCTGTCCCTGAATGATCAGAAGACTGTCTTTGATTGGTCAGAAGGCTGTTCCTGATTGGTCAGAAGGCTGGCCTGTGAGTGTTCAGAAGCTCAATACTGATTGGTTAGAATGCTGCCCTTGATTGGTCAGAAGCTCAGCCCTGATTGGTTAGAAGGCTGACCGGTAAGAGGACTATTCTTGTTTGATTAGTAGGCTGTTCCTGATTGGTCAGAAGCTCAGCTATGATTGGTCAGAAGACTGTCCCTAAATGGTCAGAAGCTCAAACTTGACTAGTCACAAGCTCAGCCCTGATTTATCAGAAGGTTAACCCTGATTGGTCACAAGCTCAGCCCTGATTGATCAGAAGGTTAACCCTGATTGGTCACAAACTCAGCCCTGATTGGTCAGAAGGCTGACCCTGACTGGCAAGAAAACCGTTCTTGTTTGTTCAGAAGGCTGTTTCTCGATTGATCAGAAGCTCAGCTATGATTGGTTCAAATGCTGTCCCTGATTGGTCAGGAGGCTATTTCTGTTTGTTCAGAAGGCTGTTTCTGATTGGTCAGAAGGCTGTTTCTGATTGGTCAGAAGTTCAACATTGATTGGTCAGAAGCTCAGCGCTGATTGGTCAGAAGGCTGACCTTAATTGTTCAGAAGACTGCCCCTAATTGGTCAGAATGCTGCCCCCTATTTGTTTAGAAAGCTGTCCCCAAATGGTCAGAAGCGCAACCTTGATTGGTCATAAGCTCAGCGCTAATTGGTCAAAGGAATGTCTATGATTGGTCAGAGAACTGTTCTTGTTTGGTCAGAAAGTTGTTTGTTATTGGTCAGAAGCCTGTCTCTAATTGGTCCAAGATCTGTTTATGATCCAAAAATCTGAACTTGTCTGTCCTGGAGCAGGTTAGGTGTACAGTGTAAGAAGCCCTGGCAGTATATCCTGGGAAGACAGTGATTCATTGTGAGACAGTAATTTGGGTTCATGTTGAATCAAGCTTCAAGTTCGCTGGATAAGCAACAAGTTCTGCTCATTTAGTCGTGGCTGCATAATTTCTGTGTATAATAATATCTGTATTATTCAATAAATATTCAACATAAATACAGATTGAGGTTAAAGCTACATTGCATTCATATAACACTATATATTTTAATGGTTTATTAATATTTCACGTCACTGTAGCAATTTTACAGTATGTTCTCTTTATTTTACAGCTCCTTCCGTCTCATTGTCATTACGTTTAAATGAGGCTTTTGACTTGAGTCTGCAAGATCCCAGCAGTGCTAAGTACCAGCAATATAAATCTCAAATTGAGGAAGTGGTAAGAGGACATTTCTGTGTGATTATTTACAACATGCTTAAAGCCACCTGATGTTTTTAAATCACTGGATGAAAACAGATGATAATTGATTTTAGCAACATGAAGAAACAAGCAGCATTTCGCATTTTCACCATTGGTTTATTCCTGACCACAGGTCAGTGTGCTGCGTTGTACATTTATGTCACTTTAGACAAAAAAAAATTAAAAACAATTATAACGAGGAGCAAAATGGACAAATTGACTTTCTCTGTGCTGACCAACAGTAAATGATACAGTCTGGGGTTTAGTTTGATGTGTAGTTTGAGGTTTAGTTTGATGTGTAGTTTGAGGTTTAGTTTGATGTGTAGTTTGAGGTTTAGTTTGAGGTTTAGTTTGATGTGTAGTTTGAGGTTTAGTTTGAGGTTTAGTTTGATGTGTAGTTTGATGTGTAGTTTGAGGTTTAGTTTGATGTGTAGTTTGAGGTTTAGTTTGATGTGTAGTTTGAGGTTTAGTTTGATGTGTAGTTTGATGTGTAGTTTGAGGTTTAGTTTGAGGTTTATTTTGAGGTTTATTTTGATGTGTAGTTTGAGGTTTAGTTTGAGGTTTAGTTTGATGTGTAGTTTGATGTGTAGTTTGAGGTTTAGTTTGATGTGTAGTTTGAGGTTTAGTTTGATGTGTAGTTTGAGGTTTAGTTTGATGTGTAGTTTGAGGTTTAGTTTGATGTGTAGTTTGATGTGTAGTTTGAGGTTTATTTTGATGTGTAGTTTGAGGTTTAGTTTGATGTGTAGTTTGATGTGTAGTTTGAGGTTTAGTTTGATGTGTAGTTTGAGGTTTAGTTTGAGGTTTATTTTGATGTGTAGTTTGAGGTTTAGTTTGAGGTTTAGTTTGATGTGTAGTTTGATGTGTAGTTTGAGGTTTAGTTTGATGTGTAGTTTGATGTTTAGTTTGATGTGTAGTTTGATGTTTAGTTTGAGGTTTAGTTTGAGGTGTAGTTTGATGTGTAGTTTGAGGTTTAGTTTGATGTGTAGTTTGAGGCTTAGTTTGATGTGTAGTTTGATGTGTAGTTTGATGTTTAGTTTGATGTGTAGTTTGAGGTTTAGTTTGATGTGTAGTTTGAGGTTTAGTTTGAGGTTTAGTTTGATGTGTAGTTTGATGTTTAGTTTGAGGTTTAGTTTGATGTTTAGTTTGAGGTTTAGTTTGATGTGTAGTTTGATGTGTAGTTTGAGGTTTAGTTTGAGGTTTAGTTTGATGTGTAGTTTGAGGTTTAGTTTGATGTGTAGTTTGAGGTTTAGTTTGAGGTTTAGTTTGAGGTTTATTTTGATGTGTAGTTTGAGGTTTAGTTTGAGGTTTAGTTTGATGTGTAGTTTGATGTGTAGTTTGAGGGTTAGTTTGATGTGTAGTTTGAGGTTTAGTTTGATGTGTAGTTTGATGTGTAGTTTGAGGTTTAGTTTGATGTGTAGTTTGAGGTTTATTTTGATGTGTAGTTTGAGGTTTAGTTTGAGGTTTAGTTTGATGTTTAGTTTGATGTTTAGTTTGAGGTTTAGTTTGAGGTTTAGTTTGATGTTTAATTTGAGGTTTATTTTGATGTGTAGTTTGAGGTTTAGTTTGATGTGTAGTTTGAGGTTTAGTTTGATGTTTAGTTTGATGTTTAGTTTGAGGTTTAGTTTGATGTTTAGTTTGATGTGTAGTTTGAGGTTTAGTTTGATGTTTAGTTTGAGGTTTAGTTTGATGTGTAGTTTGAGGTTTAGTTTGATGTGTAGTTTGAGGTTTAGTTTGATGTTTAGTTTGATGTTTAGTTTGAGGTTTAGTTTGAGGTTTAGTTTGATGTGTAGTTTGAGGTTTATTTTGATGTGTAGTTTGATGTTTAGTTTGAGGTTTAGTTTGATGTTTAGTTTGAGGTTTAGTTTGAGGTTTAGTTTGATGTGTAGTTTGAGGTTTATTTTGATGTTTGGTTTGAGGTTTAGTTTGATGTTTAGTTTGAGGTTTAGTTTGATGTGTAGTTTGAGGTTTAGTTTGATGTTTAATTTGAGGTTTAGTTTGATGTGTAGTTTGATGTGTAGTTTGAGGTTTATTTTGATGTTTAGTTTGAGGTTTAGTTTGATGTTTAATTTGAGGTTTAGTTTGATGTGTAGTTTGATGTGTAGTTTGAGGTTTAGTTTGATGTGTAGTTTGATGTGTAGTTTGATGTTTAGTTTGAGGTTTAGTTTGATGTTTAATTTGAGGTTTAGTTTGATGTGTAGTTTGAGGTTTAGTTTGATGTTTAGTTTGAGGTTTAGTTTGATGTTTAATTTGAGGTTTATTTTGATGTGTAGTTTGAGGTTTAGTTTGAGGTTTAGTTTGAGGTTTAGTTTGATGTTTAATTTGAGGTTTATTTTGATGTGTAGTTTGAGGTTTAGTTTGATGTGTAGTTTGAGGTTTAGTTTGATGTGTAGTTTGATGTTTAGTTTGAGGTTTAGTTTGATGTGTAGTTTGAGGTTTAGTTTGATGTGTAGTTTGAGGTTTAGTTTGATGTTTAGTTTGATGTGTAGTTTGATGTTTAGTTTGAGGTTTAGTTTGATGTGTAGTTTGAGGTTTAGTTTGATGTGTAGTTTGAGGTTTAGTTTGATGTTTAGTTTGATGTTTAGTTTGAGGTTTAGTTTGATGTTTAGTTTGAGGTTTAGTTTGATGTGTAGTTTGAGGTTTAGTTTGATGTTTAATTTGAGGTTTAGTTTGATGTGTAGTTTGATGTGTAGTTTGATGTGTAGTTTGATGTGTAGTTTGAGGTTTATTTTGATGTTTGGTTTAAGGTTTAGTTTGAAGTTTAGTTTGAGGTTTAGTTTGATGTTTAATTTGAGGTTTAGTTTGATGTGTAGTTTGATGTGTAGTTTGAGGTTTAGTTTGATGTGTAGTTTGAGGTTTAGTTTGATGTTTAGTTTGAGGTTTAGTTTGATGTTTAGTTTGAGGTTTAGTTTGAGGTTTAGTTTGATGTTTAATCAGTTTCTGTTTGTTGAGAAATCCATTATTATGTGAAAGATTAATCATATGTGTGTATTTTTGAATGTAGCTCAGGAAAAGTTATGGAAATATACCTGGCTTCCGTTCCGTTACTGTCACTGGCTTCAGGTAAGATGTTTTTTAAGATTTGCTATTTTGTGGCAGATATAATCTGATCTGCTGCTGAAGGTGTTCCTGTGTTTGAGCAGGTCTGGGAGTGTGATTGTGGAATTCAGACTTCTGCTGGATCCCTCGACGGACAATAACGTCATCACTTCAGAACAGACAAACCAGGACATCAAAAACAACCTGCAAAATGCTGGTTTCCAACCATTAGAAAATTCAGTTGCTCAAATTGGTAAAACAATAAACTTGTTTAAGCACGGTTTCACACTTTACAGGAAACATAAATATATTTAAGAGCTTTTAACTGCATTTAATTGCTAGTACTTGTTTTGGTATAAACATTGTTTCTGCTACTGTAATTTCTTGGCACACGTTAATTTTTCACTGAGCATTAAAGTGAACATTCAATGCATTATTGTGTGTAACTTCAGCTTCATTGTGTTCATGTTGTTCATAGAAAAGACAACATTTAGGGAAGCTTCAACAGTGTATCCTCACGAAGACATGCAGCTGACGTGTAATTCTAACGGAGACATTCAGGGGACTGTTAATTGGAAAGCAAAGGGAACCGAATTACAGAGTGATTCACACTATGAGCTTTCGTCAGGAGGTCGGACGCTTACAGTGAAAGGTGTCACCCCCAGTGATAACGGTGAGCTTCCTCCCGCCATGATGGCAGCACTGCTTGACCACATCTTACTGAATTTTCTCATAAACAACATCACTCTGTTGTCAGTAGAACTGACACTGTTAATGCAGAGGAAATTACACCTAAAACTGATTGACAGATGCTTTACTGCTGCTGTTTATTGTGCTGGTATTAGTCAACACTGTTTTTTCCCTCCAATAGGTCGTTATGAATGTTTGTACAGTACAAGCAGTGGACTCCATATCCTGTGGGACAACACTGACTACATCAAGCCTTACCCCAATATTCAAACAAATCCTGACAGGTCTTATCGGTGTCAGTCTAGTAATACTGTAACGCTCAGCTGCTGTGTGTATGTGGATTATGATGTGCAGTTGGAAAACGACAAAGGTCAAATTCTGCCTTCCAGTGAGCTCACGTTTTTATTTTCTACAGAGACTGATAGTCATTTAAGCACAGTAATTAAATATAACACAATTTCTTATTACACTGAGATTTTTTTCTTTGTTTACAGCTGAAGTAGCTTCACAGATTGATTCACAGCAAAAATGCATCCAATCCTCAGTAACAGGAAACTGCGGTTCAACACTGAGTTTCATTTGCAGACTTACCAATGGAAATTTACACAAATTCTCATACAGTTCAAGAACAATAAAGGTGACGATTTCTCTACCTTCAGTTCCGTCTGCCAACACACGTAAGTGAGCTGACCAGTCTAACTCACCTGTTTGTTCTTTCTGCATCACACTGTCAGATCCGTCTTTAAGTCTTGGTGAATTCCTTCTTCACTCTGTTGCAGCTGTGACGTGTGATGATAATGTGTACGGGTTTGGTAAAGTGGGAGACATCGCTGTTGGACAGTGTGGCACTAATGAAGTGGGCAGTAAAACTGCAAAGTGTGGAGAAGATGGAAAGTGGAAACTTGTCCAAAACAACTGCGTCCTTCGAGTCTTTCAAATGCTGAAAGAAGAATCTCAGGTAATTTCAGCCGTTACCAACTTTTTTTATGTTTAGTGAAGTACTGTACATTAATAAATTCCATACGCTTGTGTGATGCTGGACGGGGCAGGAGGTGAGTGGGTATAACTGCTAGTCTAGTTTACTAAACTCAAAACACTGACTGACGACCAAAACAGCAAACCAAACAAACTGATGACAGAAACAGAACTTATCAGAAACAGTGGAGAATAAACGACACCATTACAGCTGGACGTCAAGTCAAACCACCTCAGACTACAGCACCTCACGCTGCAAAAAGTAGTCTCTAATCAAGTGAAATGATCTGAAATCCAGACAGTGTTCCTCATGTTGAGACTGTTGTGAGCTCATAATAAGATATTTGACTTATTTCTCGACATTTGTTACTTATTTAATGATTTAATAAGTCAAATGATCTCACTGTATTGGCTGATAATATTTCTTGTTTCAAGCACGTTTCTTACAACTGTCTTACAAAAATCACTTAAAATAAGTAGAAAACATAACTAGCAATAAGTTAAATAATCTTGTAATGAGCTTACACCAATTTCAAAATGGGAGATACTGGAGATATCTGCTAGACCTTTACTTGACAAGACACCTTACAGTGCAGACAATAAAACTGACTCAAACAAAACACAACTGGACAAAACAGAGTTGGAACAAACAGCATCAGACAAACCAAGATCAAGCAAAGTGGCCTCAGCCAACACATTTGTCCTGATGTCCAGTTGCACGAGGGCTGAGACATGATGGTGTTTTTCCTGAAGCTCAAAGCTGTTTTCTCAGGGACATGTTCTCTGATATCTGCAGTCTGAAGGTAGTAGGAAGGTCCTAAAGTGTAGACTAAATCTGACTAAACCAGGAGTGTCCGGTCTTGTCCACAGAGGGCCGATGTGGAGAGATTCTCACTCTGATTTCTCTAAGTGTTGTAGTTTAGTGTGTAAATGTGCAGACAGTCTTTTACAGAAGGAAGAGTCAGTATTCTGCAGTATTCAGACTAGTATTCTGCAAGGAGGGAGACTGCAGCAGCCTTAAAGGAGCGTTGTTGTAAACATAGCGAGCGCTAACGCTAGCAGTTTGAGCTAGGCTGTGATCTGAGTAGGACCTGCAGGCTAAGATAAACTCAGAGCTGCTGTTTTTCTTTGTAAAACTGAGTCGAGTTTTCAGCAAAGCTGAACTTTGACTTCTCTGAATTCTTTGGACAAAATCGATCAGGGTTTGTCTGCAGATTTAGTTTCCAGTCAGGACTGAAAAGCTTTATATTTTTAAACAGTTTTATTTGGTTTTCAGACTTGTTAACATGAGCGCCGAAATAAAAAGCAAGACTGTCCACCCTGCTGAAAAAAACATAGAAACCATTAAGTGTTTCTGTTAGTTCCTGATGGTTTTCTAATGTGTTCTGGCTTTTTTAATGGGTTGATATCACAGTGTAAAGGATCCTAATAGTTTAACATGTGACCAATGACTGATTCTAAATGCATTTGATGGTTCTCTAATGGGATCTAAAGATTTTCTACTGGAAACTAGTGGAAAAACAATTAACCCAATTCCCATTACAGAGCAAAGCCATTAGATTTTAATCCTAATGGTTTCGATTGGTCCTTTTCCAGCAGGGCAGGTTTAGTGGGCCTGTTTGAGTAATGAAACTTCCAAACTGCGCTGGACTCTGTCGTCCTCCAGGACCAGAATTCTGCACCTGTTTTATTCCAAAAGGATTTTTTTTTGCATATTTGTCTGTCATGACTGAGAGAAACAGTAGCAGTGAATTCCTGTGGATTCTCAGTTTTTAATTCCTGTGGATTCTGAGTTCAAACTAAAGCCCCACCCCCTTCCGTGCGAGCGCTGAGGGTTTATGGACAGTTAGTAGAGTTTTCTAAAATGTTTCAGTCGGTTGTTTCAGGATGTTTCGCTGTCTGTGTTTCTGTCTTTGTCTTTATAGGACTTGGATACGAACACTATAAAAGAATTTGTGATGAAAGTTACAAATGCGTCACAAGAGCACGTGGAAGAAGTCGCCACTTCCCCCGGCACTGTTGCAACTATCATAACCCTGCTTAACACTATCGCTGATGTCTCACAAAACATTCAGGTTGACCAGGTTGTAATTGAGGTGAGTAAAACTAAAGGACTTATAGGTAAAACCCCTGGTGCTGAAGTGGGAGATACCTGCACCAGCTGCTCAAATGATTATTACAGTTATTCCATAATGTGACCAGATTTTTTACAGTTGTGTTTCAGTGCAGGTTTATGTCATTACATTTTCACCCATGGGATTTTTTCACCTTTCAGGATTTTCTACAA